AGGCCTGTCCAATCCTTGATGTTGTCCTCCCAACTCTTCTTCAGTCTGCCTCTGCTCCTTTTTCCTTGGACACTGCCTTGCAGGATCATCTTGGCAAGGCCGAATGAACGAATGGTATGTCCATACCGCAAGTACCATAAATAGGGCTGGTTATAGTCTTCTTGTTTTGTCTTTCTGTCCACCAGGAACCCGGTCCATTTTCCAACCCAGATTACAACAACTCTATGAGGATTCAAGGCCACACTAACCTCGGGTTTGAACCCAAACAGCAGGGCTCACATGTCACCGCGGACAATGACGGCTACTCTTTGGCTAGTGCTGTGTCACAGCCGCCCCAGGGAGCTAACCAATTGAGACTCCCAGGTAGCAGGGAGGATCTTTCCAGGTAATCAAAGCATGGAATGAAAAGCATGAACATGTAATATCAGAGAATAATATCCCCCCACTACCAACCAGGGCAGTGCCACTGACTGAAGTGTGTTTAGGCAATTCCCAAAGGGGGGATATTAACATGTTCTTATGCACAGTAGAATTGTAAATGGGCTGATTTATCAGTGCTTTGCTCATACTGTGCCGGAACAACATAGGAGAAACTGCTCCTTTTTCTTTCCTCATCCTTATATCATCCTTTTCCCTCAACTTCTTTTGTATGTTTGTCGCTCTCTTGTGACCCGCTTTTTCCGGAGTGCCTTGATAGTCGAAACAGACTGTGTGCTGTTGAGGCTAGAGAGGTTAGCAGAATAAGCCTGATTCCCTGTTTGGACTTCTCTGTTGACATCCACCCCTTGGCGCTCATATTACCTTACGCAGTTGCGAGCGCCGTAAAACCTTACTATAACAAAGATAATAATAACTCGAATTGGGTTTTTCCCCCTTTCTCCCCGCGCATAAACAGTTGCAGTAGTTTTCTGTCATTCTTTAGAAAAAAAGTCAATGTGAGAAATTGATATTATGTTTAGGATAAAAAGGAATCGACCTTCACAAAGAAATAATCCTTACAGAATGATGTTTCTATAAAAGAGTGAAACAAGCAACCACAAGTCCTTACATTGACTTTTTCTATTAAGTTGCTCACATTGTTTTCTTTACCACCTGCAAGCTGTCTAAATTAAAGGGACAGAACCGTTACATTCTTATACCTAGCAGTGTTCGGACAGTGTACAGTTATGGCCCTTGGATGGGAACTCTCTCGCTCACTCTCTCTCTCTCTCCCCCC